TGAACTGAGAAAACTGAAGTTGTGGCTACTGTGATAGTGAGGGAACAACTGAGCTTGCTCCTCCCCTTGAGGGATATGCAGAGAGGTAAAAACCTCTGGGGGAACAGATTTGAGCACTGATTCTCTGTTCCAAAAATCTTTAAGCATATTCAGGACTTCATAGACTTATCATGAAGAAGAATCTAAGATTTGTTTCATGTATCAGGTCAATGATTCCTCTGCATCTCCATTCTCTTTAAAGCAATGGCCAGTCAGATGCCCTGAAATACTGATAGCTATTCCTTGTTGTTGGTTCTTAGTACATTGAGTCTGAATATGGACATTCCATTTAGCTTATTTATTTATTTATTATTCAACTTATACCCCGCCCTCCCCGCTATGCAGGCTCAGGGCGGCTTACATTTGATAAAACATTGTACATAGTATATAAATAACAATTAAAATCCAGTAAAATCATCATGAAACGATTCCAATAAGAATAATACTACTAGAGTGCTGTCGATATTTCTCTAATTATATAAGGTGGCATACTTTGTAAGTTTTCAGTTTCTCGATGTTCTTCACATAACTGGGAGGCTGGGAGTTGGTGGTGATAGTGGGGGCGGCTCCTAGCCGAAAGCCTGGTGGAAGAGCTCTGTCTTGCAGGCCCTGGGGAACTGAGAGGTCCTGCAAGGCCCTGATCTCTTCCGGGAGCTCATTCCACCAGTATGGAGCCGCCACTGAAAAGACCCTGACCCTGGTGGTAGTGAGCCTGGCTTCCTTAGGACCAGGGAGGGTCAATTGATTCTGAGACCCCGATTGTAGTGCTCTCTGGGATATATATGGGGGAAAGTGGTCCCTCGTGTATGTTGGACCCTGGCCATATAGGACTTTATAGGTAAGTACCAGCACCTTGAAGCGAATTCGGTATACTATTGGCAGCCAGTGCAGTGTTTTCAGCACAGGCTGGATGTGCTCCCATCTTGGGAGGCACATCAAAAGTCTGGCCACTGCATTCTGCACTAGCTGCAGCTTCCAAATTTGCGACAAGGGCAGCCCCATGTAGTGAGCATTACAGTAATCCAATCTTGAGGTGATCATAGCATGGATCACTGTGGCCAAGTCGTTGCGGTCCAAGAAGGGAGCCAACTGCCTGACTAGCTGCAGATGGTAGAAAGCCGACCTGGCAGTGGCTGCTACCTGGGCTTTCATTGTTAAGGAGGTATCCAGGAGCACTCCCAGACTCCTAACCTCCGACGCTGGCACCAATGGTACCCCATTGAAGGTCGGGAGTGGGATCCCCACCCCTGAGCCGCCCCGACTCAAGCACAGGATCTCCGTCTTTGCCGGATTCAACTTCAGCCGACTCAGTCTAAGCCAACCAGACACAGCATGTAGTGCTCGGTCCAGATCTTCCGGTTTGGAGTCTGATCGACCGCCCAGCATCAGATAGAGCTGGGTGTCATCAGCATACTGGTGACGCCCCAGTCCGTGCCTACGGGCTATCTGGGCAAGGGGGCGCATATATATGTTGAATAACACTGGGGAGATCATTGCCCCTTGAGGCACCCCACACACCAGTGGGTGCCTCTTGGACTGCTGTTCCCCTAGCACCACCCTTTGTCCTTGACCATGGAGAAAGGAAGCAAGCCATTGCAAGGCAAGTCCCTGAATTCCCATGTCAGTGAGGTGGTGGACCAGTAACTGATGGTCGACCGTGTTGAAAGCAGCTGACAGGTCCAACAGCAACAGTACCACCAATCCGGCCCAATCCAGATGCCTCCAGAGGTCATCTGTGAGAGCGACCAGTGCTGTCTCTGTATTGTGTCCTGGGTGGAAGCCGGATTGGAAGGGATCTAACATGGAAGTGTCATCCATAAAGCCCTGCAACTGTATCGCCACCACCCTCTCAATTAATTTGCCCAAACAGGACAAATTGGAGACAGGCTGGGTCCAGAGATGGTTTTTTTTAAGAGAGGGCGGACCATCGCTTCCTTGAGTGCCCCTGGGAACAGCCCCTCAGAGAGGGACTTGTCGATAATATTTCTAAGGGTACCTTGAAAACCCTCGTGGCCAGCTTTTTTAAGCCAGGAAGGGCATGGGTCAAGGGTGCACGTGGTTGGACATACAGTAGTGCGCAATCTGTTGACCTCCTCTAGACCGGGCTGAATCGATCCAGGAAGACATGCATGGAGCCTCGAGTTTGCTCACTGTTTCAACTGTGGTGGGGAGGTCGCAGCACAGCGCCAAGACTTTATCCGTGAAATAGCTCACAAATGCCTCACAGCCTATATCCAATTCCCTAATGTTTGGTTTGCCCTATGGCAAACTTGTTATGGACAAAATTGTTCTAAACAATTGGGCTGGGCGTGAGCTTGCGGATGCAATTGTAGCCATGAAGTACTCTCTCTTCACGGCCTTGACTGCCATCTCATAGGATCTCATAAATGTCCTATAAGATGTTCTTGTGGCTTTGCCATTGTCATAGGAAACAATCTTTCACAGATATCCACCATGAATTTTCCTAACTCTTTTTGATATCATAAAGCTAATGGTCATCAGCAGATCTTGTGCCAAGAACATAAAAAATTATACAAATAAACAATTAGTTATGGAATGAAAAAACATTAAAATATTTTATTCTACTTTCTAGTACCGCAACTGTAACATATTAAATGTTCCTCTGTTATTCACATTTTGCTCTATTATTCCATTTCATTGGTAGCAATCCACTTGTGTGATAAATAACTTATGCGAGTGGTTCATGAATAAACACAGAGTCCATGCAGATCTCTGCCCTCAAAAAGGGAAGGGGAGCAGCGTGTCAGCGCAATCCTATGCAGTTACCCCATTCTAAGTACACTGAAATAACTGTTGGTGAATCAGACTTCTGGCATATGCACTTCCATATAGAATGTTCATATCTCAAGTTAACTTAGGTGCACAGTAAAAGGCGGCGTGTACTTACTCCTCCACCAAGTAAAAGAGTAGTTACAAGGTGTGTCTGAAACGATCCATTAAGAATACGCTTTTCAACCCTTAACCAGCTGATAAAACATGGAAGGGTATAAGAACTAAAATCTATTACACCTTCACCCTTCTGCTTATCAAATCCTTCAGCTCTGTCATCTCTCTTCACTTCAAACTACATGAACGTTTCCCCCATGAACCAGATAGTAAAATATTTAATTATTTATAGAATTGGTTTGAAGTATTTTGAAAACTTGCTGCAGGCCAAAAATGGCAGAAAGTGTACTAAGCATGCATTGCTTCTGTAACAGTAGGACTACCAAATTGGCAAACTGGCCCAATTACATTATTAAGATTATTTCTCAGAATTAAGAAATGCTTTTACTCTTTCTTAACAGAGTGAATCTCACAGCTAGACAAATGTCATATTCTTTTTAAAAAAAACAATTTAGGTAGTACTCAACAGCCAAAAGAGAAGGGAATAGGATTGTAGTTTATTTCTCTGTTTATTTTATGTATCACATTGCTTTTGCAGCATTGTCTTCTATCTTTGCAATCCACTGTCTATGTTATGGTATGCAATACCTTAGATAGGTTTTTAAATTGCATTATTCTTTAGTCCTACCACTATTGCGTTGCTTATTGGATATCTTATGTTGTCTGATTTAATTTTTAAAAATATTTTGTAGTCTGCAAATCACAGCTAGAAAGGCAGGCTATAAATGAAGTAAATAAATAAATATATCTGTCTCCTGTCCTTCTTCCAAAGAACTCAGCATGGTGTCAATGATCCCTCTCATTTTATCCTCGCTAGTCAGAAGTTACCAAATGAATTTCCTGCCAAAAGTGGGGATCTGATCCCAGAGTTCAAGACTGTAGTCAATACAGCGAAAGCTTTTAAACACCAAAAACAAGAAACAAAATGGAACTATACACTTTTTATATTCAGAATATAGTAACTGAACTAATCAAACTATACACATAAAATATTCAATCTAAAATAGTTATTGATTTTAAAATGTTGTTATTTGGTTTTTTTATATCTCTTTACAGATGTTTTCAGTAAGGTCTCACTGGTTAAAATGAACACCTTATAATACATTGACTTTGAATAAACTAACATCTTTATGAGTTTCGATGAGCTGTGTGTGAGATACAGTCATGCTGCCATTTATGCCCTGGAATGGACAGACACGGGGGAGGGAGATTTCCAGATGTAGCACAGTAGTCTTAACTCTATTGACACACATGTACAACAAACGTTGGCACCACTCATGTGAATGTCAGGCTAACAGACTACAGTATCATAAATTGCAAGGAAACCCCCCCCTCAAGTATTAGCATAAGATAATTTAATTCTGCAGTACCAAAATTTTAGTTTTCTTTTAGGATGAAACAACATAGGACTTCTGCAGGTCCCTGCTACTGACTGTGGTTAATTTGATTATTCACCACTATTAATTTCAAGTGTTATGTTTTTGTAGTTTGGATAAACAATTCATCTGAATTAAATTTACAGCATTAATGAGATGTGAAATCTAAAATGCAAGTTGAAACACAAATGATGTCAGAAACCAGAAAAAATGTGTTTGCATCACAGGGAACTAACAAAGTACTTTTATCCTATTAATCTAGGAATGAAGATGATTTGATTGTATAATTCTTTTGGAATGGAACAAATTAAAAAAGTATACTCATATATCACACAATACTTAATAGCATGAGAATAAAAGTCTGTTCTGCTTAATTTTTATTAACTCTAGATATCAGCAGTGTGCTTTACAAAAGTATTCATATCCAATTATAAATTTCACTGCTTTCCTTCAAAAATAACATAAATGAAGGATTCACTTGGGAAAGTCCTTCCTCTGGCCCAACTCTAAGACACATGTTAATTGTGTTGATATTGGATGTACATATACATTTCATGTAAGAGTACTGAAAGCAGTGGCATCCTGTTCTAGACTAAGATGTTAATGGCCACACTTATGAAGGATGTTATTGCAAATACTTGTCTTTTTATTGTTAACACCTGTGTGAAACTTGCCCACCTGTTGCTGGTGTAGGAAGGAAGAGTCTCTTGGACTTAGTCCCACATATCGATTGGCTTGTGATGTGCCTGAGGCTGTGTAGGCTGATTAAGGAAGAACAAAACAGATTGATATAGAAACCTATCTTAACTTCTACCTTGTATAGTTCAAACATGAGAGATCCAGAGTTATGATCTGCAATGTACAAATCATGCCTACAATTGATGCAAGTCAAAATAATCAGAAACATGAATCTGGCCATGGGATAGGATTCTACAGTGCCTATTGACTTCAATGGAATCTGCATGAGAACAGGGTTAGAGAGCAATCCTAAACAGATCTACTCAGAATCCGACTAAGGGGTTTACTCCTAGGAAAGTGTTTTTAGGATTGCAGCTGAGCTACCAAATTCTCTTGCGTGATACTTTTTTCCAGTTTGGCTAAAGCACAACCTAACAATTTTAAGCTCTCCTATACCACTGTAAACTAAAGTTCAGCAAACTGAATCATATTAACAAGAGAAAACATACCTCTAATAACTTGCTGTCTGCTAAAACAACATTCATTATTTCACAATATAATTCATTCAGAATATAGCTGTGTGTGTAACTGCTAGGGTTAAACTTTTTTATATGAGGTGTGGCAGCTTTTTGTGGGAAATGATTGTGTTATTTTTATCCGTGAAAGAAATGCACAATATTGAAAAAATGATATTTTGTACATCCCAAAATTATGGAGCAAATATATTGCATGATCCAAGCATCTAAGGCAAAAGGATCCTAAAAGCTCCCCCACCCCACCCCGAACCATATGTGTGGTTAATGGGATACACAACCTTTCCCCTGTAGGTTACTTTTCGAATTGAGAATAGGTCACTGGTGACTGAAACTCATTAACTTCTGATCATTCATGGTTGCCTGTGTCAAATTAGGTAGGTGGTCTTATTCTGTTTCCTAGCTTGCAGATATCCATATTACACAAATCAATTTCATAGCAATAGTGCTTTGACTGCAACAGCCAGGTCCTCAAAGAATGAATGAATAAGAATGCAAATATAATGGATTCATTCAAAGCAGTCTTGGTTCTCAGTTATTACACAAATGGTATCTTAATCTAGTTCTTTACATATACCATAAAATGCTTACATTTTATCTAAAATTATACATATACTGATGCAGGAATATGTACCCTTAGCTTTAGCATACACTAACTGTTGGTGTATGCTAGAAATAGTTAACATAACAGTATTGAGTATACTAATATCACCAGTTGCTATTTTTGGTAACACTGATCCTTCTGCAAGTATTAATTTATTAGAAACAAATCTCAAAGCAGCTTATTGAAAAAGCACTATAGACCAACTGAAATCCAAATGTATGTATGAAGTTTCTCCATTAAGACATAAAAATCAGAGTAAGAAGTTTTTAAAGGCTTCAAATGGAAGCAAGCTATTGTTTTATTTTATCTTGGTTAAAGGCATATCACTTCACTGCAAGTGATCAAGTTTAGAAATTGTTTTTTAAAAAATAAGTTCAATTAAGAAACGGAAAACCAGAGAACTCTGACAATAGCTCAGATATATAGCAAGTTTTTAAAAGCTATTGATTCATTAGTAGTTAATCATGTTTGTTTAAATCATTAAGTATACTCCCATCTTTCTCACTATAATCTCTATTACATGTGACAAAAAGGAGGAGGGGACATTCCTTATTTATTTAAAATAACTGATATTTTGTAATATTATCCTTAAAAAGAGTTATTAAGTCTAACTCCAATAATTCATTAAGTGAAAAACAGAATTACAACAATGTGTTCAGAGAAACACTAAGAAAATTAATTAGCTCTGTATATGTTTATCTTTGTGTTTGCATGTTGCAAATGATTTTGATTAGCTGTAGCTGTAATCTAATCTCACTGCCAGGACAGCCATTTCCAGTGGTGAGGATTCCTTGTGGCATACAGCCATTATGTCAGGCAACGGTGTGCCGCACACACGTGCCTGTATGCAAAGTTTCCATGCTAAAAAGTGCACATTCTTGTTTGCCACAGTTGCTGGGAATACTCCATGTGGTAACACTAATTTATATGAGTCACTTAATTTGGCACCATGATGAAATGCTAACAGGCAACAATCCATGTGACTGCTGTAACTTACAGCAGTGGTACTAGCAAATCAACACACCAATGCTTTTTATAGCTGCAATTCCATTGAAGACCATAGGATTCATAACATGGTACTGGATGTACTAAACAATTAAGCACTAAATGATTTACGAGTTTTTAAATTTCTCAAAATATTTTCCAACACTATTGAATAAAAATACTTATTTAACTAATAATCAAAGCTCTAATTCAATATGTTTTGAACGTGATTTTTAACCAAAAATGCACTGAGGTCTAGTCAATTGTATCCTTAACTCTTTTGGAAACTAGGTGTAGGCAATTTTATAAGCTTCCAATTTGAGTACACTTCCCAATGCCATTAGAATGTCCACCTTAAAAGAAGAATCAAGCTTTTTCTTTCTTTCTGGGAAGCTGCCACTCAAACTAGTTTGCTTCACCCTTTTGATTTTTTGGCTGTCATTTCACAAATGTCAAGACAAATTAACATTTTTTTTAAAAAAATGGTAACTTTAGAGTAAAAGTTTTGTCAATTATATTGGTACTAGGTTTGTTCTCTATTATCAACTATGAGCATCTGCCTGGTCAAATAGCAGGAAAAGGCACCCTGATTTGGCCTTAATTTGAAATTATGTTGATCTTTTGATGGACATTTTTTGTTTTCCTAGAGAAATACTTACTGCTTGCTGTAGGTGAAGATGCCTCACCTTCAGTGGAAGTAGTGATGGGTTTAGTGTCTGTCATGGTCAAGGTCACAGGCCGCACCGTACTGTGATGGGGAGAGGGTGCCAAAACTGGAGTAAAATGGCCAGGCATTTTCCCTACTACTTGACCACTGCTGTTAGGCTACAAAACAAAACCAGAAGAATGCCTTGTGAAATACACACATAGTGCTCAAGAGAGCTATCTCATTATTTTGGGGTATTCCAGAAACCTGCTTCTGCAGCGGGCTGCTTTGATATTCAAATATTTCCCTGTATAGGACCAATTTAGTGACTACAGTGTCAATACAGATGTGGGTTGTGGTGTTTTTGTGTATGAGAGGGGTTGTAGTTTGTGCTACTTTGTCTTTCATGAAGATAACTTTCTCAAGTGCTAAACTACTTCACAAGTGAAGACTATGATTCTTGTAGTACAAAATGTTATCCATTGGTGTTCCATGTGTTATATGTTAAAGGAAACAAGAGATCCAAAGTGATCCCTCAAAATGGATCATGGGCAGATCTCAGAATGCCTCTACCAATGTGGATTTTCCTAAGCTGGTTAATTTAATGACCCCACTAATACATCTTGAATGAAATAATATCATGCTACATGTATTAGACATTGTCAATACTTTGTTCTGTGACAGCAACAGTAAAATCCTAGACAACTGAAATAACAACTGATAGGCATTATGTACCTGCTACGGGAACCAAGACAGGGTAGACAGCAAGGGAAAAAACAGGTTGCTTACCAGTAACTGGTGATCTTTGAGTGGTCATCTGTGCATTCACACCCATAGGATCTAGTGTGCACGCGCTGGATCGATCGGTGCTGTAGCAAGCTCTTTTAGTGGATTTTCGCGCCCAGACCTCGGGCATGCACAGGACCCCACCGTGCATGCTCAGAGGGGTGGGCGCAGACATCCCACCAGTTCCTACAAACCGCCGCAAATCAACCCCTATTAAAAATGTAGAAGCTGACAGCAGCGGGGAAGGAAGGCGGGTGGTGTGAATGCACAGATGACCACTCGAAGATCATCAGTTACTGGTAAGTAACCTGTTTATCTTCAACGTGGTCTCTGTGCTTCACACCCATGGGAGATTAGCGAGCAGTAGGCTACCTGGAGGAGGGTGCTGGCAGGTCTTTTACTGCATAGCCGAAGACAGAATGTGACATCCCATGTTGGTATTGGTGTTTGTATGGACGTCTAGGGCATAGTACCTTATGAAGGTATTAGGCGTGGCCCACGTAGCGGCTTTGCAGATGTCCGTGAGTGGCACTCCCTGGAGGAAGGCAATGGAAGTCGCAACAGCCCTGGTAGAATGAGCCCTGATAGGGCCAGGCAATGGCTGTTTGGCGATCTGGTAACACAGACGGCTGAGACCCACAATCCACTTTGACAGGCACTGGGCCGTGATGCGAGTGCCCAGTCGTGCTGACGCGTAAGAGAGTCTCGTCTAGTCAGGTGTGTTCTATTGAGGTAGAACAGGAGAGCCCGTTTCACGTCCAAGGTGTGGAGTAGTTTGTCTTCCGCTGATGTTGGATTTGGAAAGAAATCAGGGAGGAAGACCTCCGCCTGCAGGTGGAACTCTGACACCACCTTCGGCAGGATGGAGATGTCTGGGACGAGGCGGACTCCGTCTGGCAAAAACGACAGGCAAGGTGTATCGTGCCAGAAAGCCAATATTTCTCCCACTTGTCTAGCCGAGGTGAAAACAATTAAAAAGGCCGTTTTCCACGCTAGAAGTTTGAGGTCACATGTTGCGAGCGGCTCAAAGGGCTTCCTCGTGAGCTGGCAGTGAACTAGAGGAAGGTCCCAGGGAGCGACTGGAGTCTTGACAGGAACGTAGAGACGCAATAAACCTTTTAAAAAACGTTTTGAAATCGGATGGGAAAACAAAGTACATCCATCAACTGGAACATGGTAGACCGAAAGAGCAGCCAAATAAACTCTCAACGACGAATGGGAAAGTCCCGAGTCAGCGAGGGAGAGGAGGAATTGGAAAACTCGTTCGAGCCCCACTGAGGCGGCTTGAGGGGCGTCATCACCTAGGGAAGAACAGAACCTTCGCCATTTATAATTGTACGACCTCTGCGTAGTAGGTTTCCTGGAATTCAACAGGACGCTCGTTATGCGGGTGGAGAAGCTGGTGATGTTGTTCTCCATGCCGTCAGTTCCAATTGTGGTATGTCGTGATGTAAGAGAGGGGAGTCGGAGAGGAGGAGGAGGAGGTCCTGAGCCGGAGGGAATTGATGGTATATCCCCTGTGATAACTCGAGGACTGTCGAAAACCAAGGTTGTCTCGGCCACCATGGGGGCTATTAAAATGCAGTCCGCGGCGTCCTTGAGTATTTTGCGGACCACTCTCAGAAGCAGAGGTAAGGGGGGGAACAGGTAAAGAAGTCCCGTGGACAAAGGGTAAAGGGGACCATCTCCCAGAGATTGTGGGTCCCTGCCTCCTCGACTGCAGAACAGAGGACACTTTTTGTTGTTTCTGGTGGCAAAGACATCGACTTGGGGAGCTCCCCACATGTGGAAGAGTGGGAGGAGGTATGTTGGGTTCATCCCCCACTCGTGAAGGCTGAGTCCTGCTCGACTTAGATGGTCTGCCTGCATGTTCATGTGTCTGGGAATGTGAGTGGCCACGAGGAAAATGTTGTTGGTGATGCAAAGCTCCCACAATTGGATGGCAAGGGTGCAGAGGCATAGGGAAACAGTGCCTCCCTGTCTGTTGACATAAGAGAGCACTGTGGTGTTGTCCGTGAGGACCGTGACACATTTCCCCTTGATTAAAGGTAGGAATCTGGTGATAGCGTGTTGTATAGCCAGCAGTTCTAGGAAGTTTATGTGTCGCTTCCTCT